GTTATCCACATCCCTCTTAAAGTGTGGCACCCAAAACTGCACGCAGTATTCCAACTGCGGTCTGACCAGTGCCTGATAGACGGGAACTATCACCTCCTTGGTTCTGTTTGTCATGCATCTGCTGATGCATGATGAAGTGCAGTTAGCTTTGCTGATGATTTCATCACACTGATGACTCATGTTCATCCTGGAGTCCACTAGGACTTCGAGATCCCTTTCCGCTTCCGTGCTACCCAGAAGGTCACTTCCTAGGCAGTAGGTGTGCTGGACATTTTTCCTCCCTAGGTGCAGCACTTTGCATTTCTGCTTGTTGAATTGCATCCTATTGTTTTCTGCCCATTTGTCCAACCTGTCCAGGTCTGCCTGTAGTTGTTCCCTGCCTCCCAGTGTGTCCACTTCTCCCCACAGTTTTGTATCATCCACAAACTTGGACAGAGTACGTTTCACTCCCTCGTCCAAGTCACCGATGAAGACATTGAAGAGTACTGGTCCAAAGACCGAGCCCTGCAGGACCCCACTGCCCATGCCCTTCCAGGTTGATACCGACCCATCCACTACCACTCTCTGGGTACGACCCTCTAGCCAATTTGCCACCCACTGGACTGTGTAATCATCCAAGTCACAGCCTCTTAACTTGTTCACCAGTATGGAGTGGGATACCGTATCAAAGGCCTTCCTGAAGTCTAAGTAAACGATATCAACCCCTACTCCTGTGTCCATGTGTTTTGTAACCTGTTCATAAAAAGAGTCTAGATTAGTCAGGCATGATCTACCTGCTACGAGCCTGTGCTGGTTTCCCCTCAGCATATTTTTTCCTGCTGGGCTCTCACATATATGAGCCTTAATAATCTTTTCAAAGACTTTGCCAATGATGGAGGTGAGACTGACTGGCCTATAGTTGCCTGGATCCTCCTTCCTCCTCTTCTTGAAAGTAGGGACCACACTGGCCCTTTTCCAGTCCTCTGGGACCTGGCCCGTGCACCACGAGTGCTCTCCTTTCAAGAGTACTGAAGGAATTGGCTGGTGTCATAGCAGAACCACTGGCATGGCTGTTAGAGTGCTCATGGCGCTCGGGTCAGGTCCCGGAGGACTGGACAAGGGCCAATGTGGTCTCTATTTTCAAGAAGGGGAGTAAGAAAGATCTGAGTAATTACAGGTCAGTCAGTCTCACCTGCCTCCTTGGAAAGGTCTTTGAAAAGATTCTGAAGGATCGTATTTGAGGGATTCCAGTGGGAAAAACAATGCAGCAGGGAAACCAGCATGGATTCATAACAGGTAGATTATGCCTGACCAATCTGGTTTTGTTTTATGACAGGGTCACAAAATGCTTAGACACAAGAGTAGAGGTGGATGCTGTTTTCTTGGATTTTATCAAAGCCTTTGATACAGTATCTCATCCCATTCTCAGAAATAAATTAAGAGGCTGTGACATAGATGTTTTCACGGTCCAGCGGGTGGCAAATTGGCTTAGCGGTCACACCCAGAGAGTGGTAGTAGATGGGTTGGTATCGACCTGGAAGGGTGTAGGTCCTGCAGGGCTCAGTCCTTGGACCTGTACTCTTCAATGTCTTCATCAGTGACTTGGATGTGGGTGTGAAGTGTACTCTGTCCAAGTTTGTGGATGATACTAAATTGTGGGGTGAAGAGCACACTCCGGAGGGTAGGGAACGATTGCAGGCAGACCTGGACAGGTTAGAAAAGTGGGCAGAACACAATAGGATGCAGTACAACAAGGACAAGTACAGAGTGCTGCACCTAGGGTGCAAAAATATCCAGCACACCAACTGGCTGGGAAGTGACCCTCTCAGCAGCACAGAAGTGGAAAGGGATCTCGGAGTCATAGTGGACTCCAAAATGGACACAAGTTGTCAGTGTGACAAAATCATCAGCAAAGCTAATCACACTTTATCATGCATCAGCAGATGCATGACAAAGAGAACCAAAGAGGTGATGCTTCCCCTCTGAGGCATTGGTCAGACCTCAGTTGGAGTACTGCATCCAGTTCTGGGCGCTGTACTTCAAGAAGGATGTGGATAGACTCGAGAGAGTCCAGAAGAGCCCACTCATGTGGTCAGGGGCTTACGGAACAAGCCCTGTAAGGAGAGACTGAGGAACCTGAATCTCTTCAGCCTCCGCAGGAGAAGGCTGAGAGGTAATCTCATGGCCACCTACAAATTAATTAGGGGGACGCAGCAAGGGATCGGAGATGTTCTGTTCACCAGGGCGCCTCTTGGGGTAACAAGGAACAATGGTCACAACCTGACAGAGAGCAGGTTTAGGCTAGATATCAGGAAAAACTTTTTCACGGTAAAGGTGGCCAAAATTTGGAACAGGCTTCCAAGGGAGGTGGTGCTCTCCCCTCCTTGGGGGATTTTAAGAGAAGGCTGGATAGGCATCTGGCTCGGGTTATCTGACCCCAGCGCTCTTTCCTGCCTAGTCAGGGGGTCGGACTCGATGATCTGTTGAGGTCCCTTCCGACCCTAGCATCTATGAATCAGTAGGGGGCGCTTCTGTGCACCCACGTCGCTGTGCCCGTCCACCTACCAAACTCTGAGTGCCTCCCTGGGTGCCCCATGTCTGGCTGAACCCCTTCCTGGAGCTCACCCGCAAGCCTGGGATAACTGCTGCCACCATCCAGGGGTCTGGTCTGTATCCAAGCCCTGTGCCCCCTGGGGTACACAGGCCGTGTAGACCTTGAGGGTACTTGACCCACTATGAAAATCTGGGGTGTTTCCTTTAGCCTGAAGCACAGAGAGTAGCCTCCCTTCATCAGCCAAGCATAGGGAGCTTAAAGGCATGCCCCAACCCCTCTTCCATGCTTGTTATAGTGAAGAGCTTTATTGGTTAAAGAAGGTAGGCTTGGGAAAGGATACAGGATAGAGAAGTATCAAAGAATAACCCAGAACAAAGTGTATGGCTAGGTAGGTAGCCTTTTGTCACACTTCTACATTACAGTAAGCTGTATAAGTTTCAGGCAAGTTACTCACATGTTCATCTGGAGCCTAGAAGAGCTCCAGAGGCCATGTGCTTACTCCATGTTCCCCAATATGGCTCTCCCCCGGTCCCTTAAATAACGTTTCTGACCTCATCCCTTGGACCAACCATAACCCATTTTCTCCGACCATGGCTGACACTGGATGGTCAGTTTAAAAAATGTCAGCACCCTTAGGTGAGAGTTTAGGGTTACACGGGACAGGATGAGCAAGTCCCCTCCCCCCTCAGGAATTTGCAACCCTGTTACCATGGAGACCAGGTGCCTCCTGCAGCCAGAGTTTGTAACCAGAGTGGAGGGTTTGGGGCTGTAGCCCTACATCAGTGAAGTGGGCAGGCAGAGAGGTTTATTCCTCCACAGCTTGACTTCTCTGTCCTTCTTGGGGTAGAAAAGTGTCTCTGGGAAGCACCTTCTCTCCCTACATGCACTTTCCTTGTTCTAAGCCTTTGCTTGGAGGAAGGGGAGCAAGGCCCTTTGCTGCTTCCCCTTCTCCTGTGCACAGTCCCTAGAGTCTGCTGCTCTTTGGGGACAAGGTCTTGGGGGCTCAGGAGAAAACTGGCCCAAAGCAAATCATGCTTTGAGCTACTCTGAGGTCTCTCTCCATGTGAACTTGGCCCCATCATACATGGGCAGTGGTTGCTGCTGCTCTTCCTCCTCCTGAACACACACCTTGCAGGGACTCCATTGCTCAGCAAACACACTCCTGGTGAGCATTTCCTGACCCTGTTCATTACAGGAGGCACCTGAAATTACCAAGAGCATGGAGATGAGGGGCCCAAACCTTTTTCCTGTTGCACCATATGTGCCCTGTGCACTGGACAGTGCTTTTCTAGTCATGATAAGTTCCAGGTCCATTTGGTGAGGGGGAGAACCTTTTTCCAGCCCCTGTTGAACCAGGAAGGGAGGGACTGAAAGAGAGCTCCCTGTAGTGCAGAAGTTAGAGCAGGGTAGCACCTTAGAGACTAACTGGCATAAGCTTTCCTAGGTGGCAGCCAACTTTGTCCATTCATAGAATCTGACAAATTTTAGGAGTTGACCGATTTGAGCAGTTGGGCATTTTACATGCGAGGGGATCTTTCCTAGGATTTCAGTTGAATGCTAAACTCAGTTTTCAACCTGTGATGCTGAGGGTGTAATGCTGCTATCCTTCTGTCACGAGGAGTCCAGCAGTCCCTAGATTTTCTTGTAGACCAGTAAGGACTCAGAGAGGCTGATATCTGCTGCGTTGTGTGTTGTGATCCCATTACAGTGCAGGAGGAGAAAGGGTACAGCAGCCTGCAGGATGAAGCTGTGAAGATCTTTAACTCCCTGCAGGAGATTGAGACGGTGTCTGATCCCATACCCATCATCCAGGGCATTCTACAAACCTGCCATGATCTGAAGCCACTCCGTGATGAAGTGTATTGCCAGTTGATCAAACAAACAAACCACATGCCCCATCCCAACAGCACTGGGAACCTTCACCACTGGCAGCTGATGTCCTGCATGAGCTGCACTTTCTTGCCCAGTAGAGGGATTCTCCGCTATCTCAAGTTCCACCTGAGAAGGTAGGAATCATTTTTAGAAGCTTGCTGCTTTTTTCCCCAGTTAATTTGTTCCAGGTGTTGGGGCCTGTAATAGGATGGCCTGTACCATTAATGAAGACAGCTAGTTAGAGGGCTGCAGCTGTGAGAAGGTTAATGAAACTGTCTCACTGGGAAACAAAAACCCCAGCAAGCAGAACTGGGGGGAGATGGAGGGGAAACACCAGAGGCAGGAGACCTCTGGACTATGAGAAAGACAAGCCCGGGAAAGGAAGGTAGCAGACCCATCCCAGGGTCCAACGCAACAAGGTTTTGGTTTGCTTGCTTTGTGACAAAAGATTGCATATGACTGGGGTAGGCTGGGAGGTGCTTCAGACAGAAAAGGCTAGCAGATTTAAAGACTGCATGCTATGGAGGCTAGCTGAGAGATGCTCAGGGAAGTCGCTAAAGCCTAGCTGAAAAGGCCCTGGGGCAGCAACCTGGTACAGAGTGATGAAGCCCTGTGCAGCCTCC